TTACACTTAATAAACTTCACTTCATTTCGAAAAGTATTGAAAATATTGAAAGTTTTTTACACTTATATACTCCTTGTCAACAGACGTTTAAAGACATGTAGGATATGGCTTAAATTCTCTCGAAGTCCATATCTTATTAAAACATTGAAACGGATATCATATGATCTTGGGATTATTATTGAAAGAAGGAGTGTTGGGATAAAATTCTATTGAATAGTAAGCTGTACTTCAAAAAATTGTACATATCAAAATCACGAATACGTGTTAATTAAATATGTATGATGGGATACGAAACAAAAGCCCCAATAACTGATAATGGCCGCTGTTCTCACAGTAGGCGGTGAAATAGATTATGGAATATAAGCGCTGGATTCCCGCTGTATGGCGCTGCGGTAAGGCAATCAAATCATGTCGGCTAATTAAATGTGTAATTACAATGTCAGACGTATTAATGAAGTTACATATTTTATAGGTCACGTGGACATTAGCGACATAAACACGTCTTCGGCTTAAATATCAATCTAGGCTGCTAGCAAGGTATAAGCAAGATCATGTTTTGGCTATTGGATTGCTGGAGGATTTACCATAAAAGTGCGCTAGGTGTTTGAGCATTTAATTAAAGAAAGAAAAAGAAACAAACAATAATTCAGATATTTTTCATTCAAACCAAATTTTGTGAAACTTAGTTTTCGCAATAACTAGATTTTTTTTTAAATATCGCTGTTCAATGAGAAATAATCATGTTTTCATTTTGCTATGAATTTCATGTTTTAATTCGTCTTTAGTGCCTTATATATAAATATATACAATTGTACATATTGATTGGTAAGGTACGAGGTATACACAGGACACTTTTCTGTTTAATTATCTAGCTACTCGATTGTGGGAGGGTTTTCGCTCCATCTCGCTCAATCAAATGATGCTAGTCGATTTCACGTTAATACAATAAATCTAGCTACAAACCGTACTCACAGACAATCATCTCGACTTACGTGAAATAATATGTATGTGACAGGTTCTAAGTTTTCATTATCTAGAAGTCAAAAAAATAATAAATGTCTTTATGGTACACTACACGTGAAAATGAACGAGTATATGGTATCGAGACTAGAACCCGCTAATCTAATATACAGAAGATTACGGCGTCTAATGACACATGTAAAACACGTGAATTGGAACATGAGTGTCCAGGGCACTGCTAATTAACACTACCTGAATGTAATTGAACGAGGGACGAGAAAATCAATCTCCCGTGAGAAAAAAATCAACTAATAATCTTCTAAGCAATGTAAGAAAGTATTGACGAATTTGAATCGATCTACATCAAGTTCTTAATTACAAATTAATCAATTATTGTTAGTGAAAGTTAATTCTAAGCCTTCATTGTAACTATGGCAAGATTTATAAATCAGAGGACGACACAAAACGCAAAACCAGTGCAACGAAAAATGGCGGGAAATTGGTAATCAATTGAGCTGAAGAGTTCTATTGTAGTATATACTGTAAAAACCCGTGAGAAACGTCTCGCTCTTTAGAGATATCAAACATCAAAGAGACCCACACCCCCGGCTACACGGATTCCTAATCACCCATAGAGAATGAAATTTAAATAATATTTGGTAACTCTTTAAAAACGCATTCCATACTTCTGGCAATTTTCGTATTTCGTTCCGTTTCTTTTTACGATAACAATTTAGATTGCATATCCTACAGTAGCAAACGAGCGGGGGCGTTGGTGTTGATAGTTACGCTTATCTCATAAAATGTGTACTATCATCGCTACCCGTCAGGCGCGTGTTTTATTATAGTTTGATTTAAATAATGATATAAGCCCAGCTTCCTAGTCCAGTGCTCTACCAGTTGAAGTTAATTGATTTGGTTTGTTTCATACAGTTTATCGTGGAATCGTTGAAAGTACATGTATATTCTGGGGCGCCGTTTTATTTCTTAATTTCATCTTACGATATCACTGTTTGACTTACTATCGATATTTGTACAAATGTAAATACGGTGTTATGTTGTTTATCTGAAACGTTATAACGCAACAATCTTCTTTGGTGAAAAATAAGGATTAGACAATATTTCATGATAGTGTTACGAATTTCAATAGGATTAAAAAATAAAATTATTCTTTAAGAATACACATTGATCATGTTCCATCCATTTTTTTTAACTACCAAGCCCCGTAAAACGTCTGTCCGCGGAAACGCTCTTAAAACCATGACTCTTTTCGTATATATATTGTACGTAATCTTGTAATAAATTTAAGTGAATGTTAAGTTTGTTGGCATATTTTCTGACAACGTGAATTTTATTAAACATTGTGTTTTGGTGATTTTAACTCCATTATGAAGACTTTCAGGTATCTCAAATCATGCAATATTACAGAATATCGCGAGCATATAGGATGTAAAAATGACATACATTTCAAACATTGTATCAACAGTTCTATCTTCATGTTAGATTAAAAAGTAAAAAAACAAACGTTATCAAAACATTGTACAATACAAATAATCAATAGAATCAATAAGATGTTTACATCACTTATCTTCAATATAATCAAAGAGAAAATAGGGGAGTGGAGACAAAATAGGAACTAAGCTAAAATAAAAACATGGATATATATAGCGTATGCGTACAGAGACCCGACACGGCCAGAGATATCCTCTCCTTCATCTTCCCCCGATCTCTGCGTCAATAAGACACTAATTTATATTCATTGATATTTGTGCTGAGGCCGCTTTACACCCGATACACAATCTGTGGTTATGTAATTATGGTAATTAGCTCATTAGTATGCATAAGGACAAGATAAACATAGGGCCATGTTATAATGACACCCGCTTCGATTTCATTTTAAATAACGTTGTTCATTGCGTTTAAATGGTTATATTCAAGTAGTTTGATGTGGACCGGACCCTGTGTTCATCATTTACGCAAAAATATAACAAGTGTAGGTATAGAATTTGTATAGCCAGTTTTAGCGCTAGCCTTTTCAAAATTGGGTTCTCTGCAAAAGATTAGGTGGCACAAAGGAATATCATACATATCTGAAAGGTTAATTGGTGGTCTCTTTAAAATGTTTCCCTTATTTTGAAATCAATATAGGGTAAACGCAATCCTTGATGTAGATGTATATTATTTTTTTAATTCTTTCTGGGATTTTCACTGAAGATACCATAAACTGGACACGGACGTGTCAATGCAGAAAGGAAAGGTTAGGGAAATACAGAGGAACGGGTTACATTATACAGATTTCTTAAGTTCTTCTTATCGGTTTCGAACAAGGATATATTAAAGATAAATGCTTAATATTATAAATTTATACAAAAGGTAAGTTTTGACGTTTTAATTACGAGGATTTCTCATCGACCGGTAATTAGCCAAGGTATATGAGCATTTTCTGAAGCAATTTGTTCCGACAAATAGGGTCCATATCGCAAAGAATTACCAGTAGCATTTTGAAAACAATTTGGGAGATCAGTAAAAATGTTAAGTGAAAATAGTGAAAATATTGAAAAGTCAGTAAAAGTTTTAGAAAACCATACGAATTCAGTATCTATTCTAACAGATCAGATCCGTCCTATTTCTTTCTTTTATAAATATTGATTTTTAAATGTTTAAAGAAATTACGTAACATAAGTTCAACAGAACTGTCCTGTTAAGTTGTTTTTAAATGTCGGTACCCACAACAATGCTCATCCCGCAGAACATTGTAATATCCGACTCGGATTCGGGTCGTATTATCCGACCGTGTAATCCGGAATGTTCTACAGTTGTGGTTGACACGTCCTCCTTACATAGATAGCGTTATATACCTACGTCAAATCGATACACATCTTTATCACACAACGTTTGTCATGCAGCCATTTGTCAGAACGTGCAACTAGCGGATTATAGGAGATAAATCTCTGGTGTTATGTGTCGGGGAAATCGGCGTATCGGTCCTATGTGTGTGGTTTATTATTCATTTTTTACAAAAATGTTAATGTTCTGTGTGCGACGCGCATTTGAAGATAATTATATTTGTATAGAAATAAAATTGACGAAGCTGTTACATAAATAAACATAGGCTCTGAGTAAGTATAATACCTAAAACCTTATATAGCTATACATGGATTTATATATATATATAATACAGTTGTGTTAGCAGAGAACGAAAACCTATTTAAGTTCTATCACGACCCAGATTCATCAGAGCAACTGTACTCCATGTAGCTTCCTCTTTTGATGGAGTATTGTGCTTGCGGAATTAAAAAACACAAAAGTACTAAAAAATCGACATTCTGCAGATAGATACAGATTGACACTCTACGTTCACACGCCCCCTTTAACCCCGGCCACACCCACCCACTCGCACCTGAAGCAATAATATTTATTTTATCGTATAAAAAGAAGCATCAATCGCTGTTATCACTAATTTTACGCGATAACCTCGGAAACAATTAATTAATGGACGTGATACTCTTCCGTTACATTTCACACTGGCCCTACATGGCTGGGCCGACCCGCGGTAATTGTAGATAAATTGGTTTTATATGTGTCCTGATAACATTTTTATCGGCGTGAAGGAATTGGCCTATTAGCAGGATCTTGAATCACTTATCGACACTCAAAATCAAATTATTTTAGGACGGGAGAATATTTCCAATTTTGTCTTTGATATAGTTAGACGACTACAGCAGATTAATCAGTGGATTTTAAGCTGAAAAGTATATTTGTCACTGCACACAAAGAGGCTAAATTTGATCAACAAAACTTAAAAAGTCTATATAGACATTTATATTTGTTTATGACAATTTATCATGTAACGAGTTAACTTTTTCCGAGATTCCATTGATCTACGAACCAATTCTAAACACAATTCTGTGGCACTATTCTCTTATCTGTCTAATTAGATGCATAAAAAGAAGTGTTCAATAAACAAGGCAATACCCTTAAATAAGCATTATGTAAATTTATGCTAATATTTGCGGTGTGTGTCCGCACGTCCTACTCACCATCGTCTGTCTTATCGTCCTTATTGTCAGCCAGAATGCCATCTATACTGTGCTTGTTTCCGCCTCTGTCGCTAATGCTCATATCATCAGCGATGCCATTGGCTTCCTCCTCCTCTTCCTTCAGGATCGCTTCCGCCTCCAGGTCCGACTCGGACTCGGAACGATGGAATTTACTCCGAAGTACCCTACTGATAGAACTGACACTAGGGACGGAACTACGGTCACACATTCCCTCCTTCAGTAGCCTATCCCGTATCTCCCAGCTAAAAATACCTGGATTGTCCCTTTTGTATGTTTCTATCTTTCTCTCCACTTCCGGGGTGGCGACTCGAGGCTTACTGCCGCCGATTACCCCCGGGCGGATGCTGCCTGTCTCCTGGTAACGCTGGAGTATCTTACTCACACAGCCGTGGGAAACCCTTAGCTGACGACTGATGACGCACGGACGCACCCCCTGTGCAGCCAGCTCTACTATTTTCAGGCGGATATGATTTGGGAGGGGTCGCCCGTTTATAAAAACTCCACCAAGTTGATTTACTCGACCTTGACCTATAAACAAAAAAATAACATTCTTTTAATATTAAACATGTTGAGGTTAAATGCATATTTTAATTTCAATAATTCCATCATATAAACTTACTACATTGTCAATAAAACAATTGTATTCATTTTATCTTAATCGAATTTGGTTGAACATGCTTTTATTTTTGCATGTTCTTTGATGTTGATTTTGCTTGCATGGTTACTTGAACTTCACATTTCACTAAAAAAAAAAATGGGATTGGGATTTTATCCATTAAGTCAGGAACAATCATCAGTCTAAATAATTAATATGTTTGATCCATTTTAGCACAGGGGTTCGGCCAAGCGAGATATGTGTTTCTGCAAATATAGCGGAGTTCTAATTTACAAATAGTTTACTGAACAGAACGTTATATTACAAGATCGGCATACCTCTTGTGACCCTGTATATTTTTGCAATTAGACATTTTTGTTTTATCTTTAAAAAAAAATGGTGGAAATAGCGAAAAATATAACAGCATTTTCCCTAAATTAAGTGAATTTGTTTATTCTATTTTTAATCAATCTGTTACAGGCTGTTTGTGTATGACATGAAGTGCGTTAATGTTAGTTTTATTGTCCCATGTTAAGATATCTTTTTATCAATAACCAAAAAGTTGCCTGTTATCTGGGAGACAATTCACATAATGTGTGTGGTTCACATAAATTGTGCTCAAGTAGCTTTTGCACTTTAATAATCATGATTACCAAAAAATATGATAAAGCTTAATCATATTAAAATGAAATCAAAAGGAATCAACATGATCCTATTCGTGTTATCCTATATATAAAGTATAGTCATCAGAGGTAAGTAAAACATTAAAGCAAATATTGTGACCACTTAAATATTTTCTGTAAGTCTTTATATACTTTTTCTCAGTATGTTTCTGGAAATGTTTGAATTAAACGCCAGGTTAGGGTTAAGAAAGTGTGCCAAAATTAAAATTTTTGATAAATTTGATGACTCTAAATGAATTGTTTTTAACAAGTAGACTTTAATGGGGTTTTTTTGTGATTATATACCATTAGTGTAGCACCTGTTGCAGACGATATATCATACTTATCCCTTAAATCTGATCTTTTTTCCAACTAAGGATTTCTCTTCTGATAAACAACACTTTCCTATTTATTTTGTTTGTTAACATAAATAATAATGTATATCAGACAACCAGGAATATTCACTGGTCGTGTTAAATAAACCATTATATATATTTCAATCAGACGAAATGTTAGAAAATTAACAAATTTCAAATTCATGTAACTGTAAACCGCAAACAATATGTCCTAAATGAACACGTGGTATGTGTTGATACTTGCGGACAGCACGTGGGTGATTTTCAGCATTTATCATGTACCTATTTGTTAAGTATAGTTAATGCTATAAATTCACGTTAAACACCACCCGTTTATGAAGTACACATCGGTTGTTCTAAAAGCATATACATTACGAAATATGTATTTTCTTATAATAAACGACACGTTTAAAAAGATTATTTACAGAAACAATTATTGTGGTTTTTCCTATATGCGATTTTTGACTTATCAAAATTTCATGCAATAATTAATGTACATGTATTTACACATTACTTTGATAGATCGATATGAAGTTTATCTCTATTTGGTAATAAATCGTGCGAGGAGGCTCGTGCGCGTGTATAAACGTAATATACCATGACATATGGAAATGTTCACGGATAGGCGATTTCATAGCTTCGATTGACCGGTAGATCTGAATTACCCGCATTGCCAAGTCAACCACAAAAACCATGAAATCCTTCAGACTTTTACATACAGTGTTAAAAGCGAGATTTCTGTCCGACCTATATGTATATCTAGACGTGTGCCCTACCTTTCAACAAAGCCTCGGTCTCCATACGAGCAAATCCCATCATTTTTGAATGTGTAAAATTCCCCCACGCACCTGTCGCCAGCAATTTATATGCACATACACGATAAACGACCTGCGTACAAGTCTCATACAAACTGATCTTGTGAGCGTGAATTTTTATCTAATCATCTGATATGCAAATTAGTTTCATGAATAATTTTGCTAGAAACAATGACGGAAATCGGCAGTAGGGCCCTGTATCGGGTTCTAACGGAGGGGAGGGGGAGAACGACCGGGGAGTGGAATAGGATCACGTTACCATACAAGCTGGTGCATTTCTCCATCATCTAACCCTAGCTATGTATCTTACAATCAATTAACTCTGGCCAATGAAATATCAATTGGTCTATATGTACCCTCAAAGGGAACCCGGGGTCTACCAAATCTGGTCGCGCCCTTTGAGTCGATATGCTTTAATACCAAAGCGCCCCTAATCAGTTTCTGATCGAGCGAGACAAAACTTTTAAACTTTAGTTCCAAAATTTTCAAACGATAGCAAATATGGCGACGTCACATATACATCTGGATTTAAATTTAATTTAGAAATTACTAGCGCTTCAAAGAGCTCTTAAATCTTTACAAAATAATTTAGCTAACGAAATCTATTAGGTTAAAAGTTTATACTGAAGTAACAGCTTTTAATGATGTTTAGTCTTCCGTTAAATTACATGTACAGGATCCACACAATTAAGACAATACGATTGGTTAAATTTGTTATCACGTATTACTGGTACCTATTACAATTGAAATATACTTCGAAACTACGAAGCGTGTAAAATAACATTGTTTAGTGTATTGTTTTTTCAAGTAAACCTCCTATTTCTTTATTTAAAATGCCAAAATATATTTAATTCAATTTATTGCATTTCACAGATATATCACATTATATAAACCAGACTTGAAATTAACACATTGAATAACACAAAAAGAAAAACAAACAAAAAATCACGTGTATATGAATATATAACGTTAAACATACTTATATCACGTTGCAAGCCTGCCTTCCTCAGATCAAATGACCTTTCAATAAAGAGATTCACACTGATAATTACATTACCAGATTGTGCAGGTCAGTTAATGCATCATGAGTTTTAATATATTTTAAAGTTTAGAAACAACATTCGAGAATATTATCATCAGTGCGATTTAGGCCGTTATTGGAGGCGCTGATCACTTTAATTCTAAAGGCCGGCTTTTCGAAAGAAATCACCAGTTTATAAGTGAATACTTTTGTTAAATGCACATTTTTTAAATCCATATTTTTTGATAGTTTTGATGTCATTGAAACTATTAAAATGTGTGCATTTTGAAAACTACTTCCTGGATACTACCCGAAACTACTATCACAGTACTCGCTCGTACCTTGACGCGGGGCCAATTAAAACATTTCACGGAGCATGCTGGCGCAAATTTATACTGTTTACAGTAAATTAGGCCGTGCTACACCATAACATATCACCGTGGAAGTGGACGGACTTGAAACGTTTCGTCTCGGTTACAGGAAATCAATTTATTTTGAAAATCAGATTTTAGATTAGAAGTTTGTATATTACTAATTCCTAGACGACGCGAGTCGTACCGGACGTTAATCCGTGTCATTGTAAACGTGATTTAGTAAAGCGAGTTAATTTTATGATTGTTTACATTTCATTCCCATCTCTTGAATGTAATGAGTGTCAAATTACAGACAATGACATGTAATATCCTTATGACAATGTTTATCAGCCTAAACAACTAGTTATTCACAACCGCCTGGATAAAAAGCTAAGACTTAATTGATTAGTTCTCAATTACAACCCTGCTATATCATATTCTTTTTAAAATTCCTTCTAATACACGTTTCCGTCGTAAGCACTCTGTCGTTAATGACGTTCTTATTCTGTAAATAAAACTGTTATTATTACATCTGAAGTTGCAGTAAAATACATTATGAAGAGGCGTATATTAAAGCACAAACAATACAATTTGTATTTATATATATACTGTATATACCTTCCATCTGAAATGTTGGGAGCAGCCCCATAGCAGCCAGGTGGTAGGAGAACATGTTATTGATCATCTTGTTTGGGTACATCAGTGATAACGTCTCTTCGTCACTAGTATATAGTCCTCTGTCTCCCTCAGGTACTCTAGATTCACGATCACGGACAAGGGAAATCCCACACAAATGTATTTCTGTTATCCACGGTGAATAGTCACCAGTTATAATGTAGTTTGTAAAATGAGGAGACAAATCGCACCTTTAAGCCTATTACTGATACAGTTTTACCTGTGCTGAGTAAGTTCATTTTTCAGGTATGCAATCAATTATCAGAGGTTTTGCCTTTTTGATTGTACCGATGTTTTATATCACCGATGGACAAATCCATTGGATCAGATTAGTCACGTGATAGCAGTTATACTGTTTAAAATTAACCGAAGCAAAACTAATTTGTCTCCAGAATGTCACTTTGGGATTCATCGAAATACAACCGTAAGATTGACAAAACGGGGGCGTGTCTCGCAGGTAAAAACTACACAGGTATCTGCAGAATTACAGCGCTGTTCATTTCTCTTTCACCTGAGGTGAAATGGGCGTGGCCGAGTCTTCAATCGGATTACACTGGCGACTAGAGACCTGGAGCAAACTACGAGACTTAAGTTCTGCATAATATTACACAGACAGAATATACCTGAACGGGTCGCGATTAAAGCATCACTGTTGTGTTGGGGTTGTCACTTTCAATTTCATTTTTTGTCCCCAATTGACAAAAAAAATGATAATGAAAAAGAACTCGTAGAAGTTTTGCGTTCGCAACTGCCTGGTATAAAGCGACGCGTTGTCGAAGGGGGCGGGGCATTTATGATTGATGAAGGAGAAAAAACGGGTATTTTAAGATATAGAGGCGGGCAAAAGATATTATAGAGAAATCTTATTAAAATACAGAAGTGCTACTGAACGTGTTTCTGCTATGTATAAACACTTTATAGGTTTTATCGATATTGTATGATAATCTGTTTTACCAATCCGACAAGTTTAGCACAGAAATAAACGGAGAGACGACCACAGTTTCCTCTCTAGGTAGGAATATTTTGTCTCTTCGGTCTAAAATAAATTCTTAACAGTGATAAAAATTGCCGACATCATTTACGTAAATCTGTAAGTATTGAGAATTTATTATTGATATAACATGTTTATTGAAGTGATTATAAATTATTCTGTAAAGAGGATTAAAACATGTGCATATACATAAAGAAAAAATGAGATAAAAAAATGTTGAAATAAATGGCGACATTTCAACCGTAAGTAATGTCTAATATCTGTGTAAAACATGGGTGATAAGGATCTCTCTGTTAAGAACGATAACGTTACAAATGTATTTACTTATTTATATTTTGTTCACATCGATTTCCCTTAAAGACGAATAGAAAAGAAACGAAACCTGAGTATTGCCATGTCTTCTTCGTCAGCATCAAAGACGATTTTCTAAAACAATTTCATGAATTTATTTATTTATTTTAATATTATATTATTTTTTTCCCCAAATCAATTTCCTTATATTTATAAAAGAATACAACACAATATGAAACAGCCTGAATATTGCCATGTCTTATATACAGGTTTTGTCAGTACTAGTATCAAATATGGGGTTTGAATATTTTCATTAAATAAATGATTTCCGATTTTCAGAAGTTATTTTTTTCCCTGTAATGTCTCTGCCATATAAGCCCTGAACGAGGAAATCTGGTAAAAGGTTTTCAAGCTGTAACCACTATGCAATTTTTTTATTATAATTTCAAATCCAAATGACTGAGTGATCTTAATACCAATAATGTGCATTTTGTAAAGGTATTTAATTTCAGCTGATATATATATTTGACCTGATTTTATGTTATTTGCTGTCAATACTGTGGAACACCTTCATGAATCGATTTTTATTTTTAATAATTATAACAAGATAGTATTTCAATATACAAAATAAATAAATAAATAAATCGCTTCCGTCTTACCAAGCTGACAGATGGTCCACTTACGTGAAATAGCCTTAATGAGATCACAAGTAGGCATTGGGGGTATGAAGTGAAGTGTTAGCTGTAGATGCAACATATCGCTTAGAGTGAAATTAATTAATTGCAAATAATCAATTACACATGGATTAAATGCAAGCTTTCCTATCTTATTATTTGTCATATTCTGACAGGCGACGAGTTTGTATAAAGTTAGATGCCGATATTATATTGAGAGTACCATAACTTAAATGAAGTAATAACACAAAAATGCAATTGATATCATAACTTATTATCGGCGCACTAAATAAAATCTCTTGTTAATAAATAATTAAAAAATGTATTTTGTATAAGTATTCAGTTAAATTTTCATACAAGGTCATGAGGAGACAGCATATAATTTGAAATACCATTTTTACTTACACAGGACTACTATCTCACGAGCGTTACCTTAGTTTTCTGTGGGAAAGCATTACTAAATGGGTAACGTTTCACTCGCTACATTTTTCTTTTACCCCAGCATTTTCTTTTACTATAGATAAACTGATGTTAAGAAAAGTTTGTGAAACTAAAAATCTATAAATCTCCAAATACCTCTGAGTACTTAATTTCCATATTGCAAAAGCACTTGGTAAACCTTGTGTCTTTATACGATTTGAAAATTAACTGACTCGAGTTATATAAACATGATAACCAGACATCTCTTGTAAGGATTACTTTAATTACAACATGTAGCTCCGATGATTAAACCATCTTTAATTCGTCTTCAGCAAGTGTGGCTGCGATCAGAGGCGGGTAGACCTCTGGGACATTCTGTTCTACGTGAGACCTCTGAGGATAAGGGGGAGGGGGCTGGTTATCGGGGTCGATGTGTATGCAAATATTTTATTGTTAGTGTTGGTTTAGATGAAATACAGGAAAATCTCAGTTTTTTCTAGTATTTTCCTATTCTTATATGCTAGTTCAACATTAAATATAAAACAAAAATCAATTTTCTTTGTAATTTTTGTTTACAATGAAATTGCCTTTCTCGTAAATATTTGATCTTCAAGTTAGCATGCATAAGGACAAAACCCTGGTCTGTCAATAACCCTTTGTATTTTCAGAACAATCCAATTTACTCGTGTGCTACAGGGATGTGTCAATCAAATACGATATATAGTGCAGAGGTCATCAATTTTTTTCATTAAAATACACAATAGTGTAGTTATAAAACATGTTTATTTGAGTTGATATGACAATATAGAATGTGTTTTATATAAATAATGTTGAAATTGATAATAGAAATTGTAATAAAAAAGTATCCATTCCAGAACCAACATCGTTACTTAAATTTAAATGATTTTAGTTAAAACAATATGTATATCTGTAATTTACACATACAATCATGAAAATATCATTACAATAACGAGGAAAGATACAAAAACCAAGTTAGTATTTTACAGATTAGTGTATCATCACGGCAAAATGTTATCATCGTCACACCACAAAGAAAGATGGCGGCTATCATTTGGTGATTAAAACTCGATGTGAGCTGGTGTTTTTTAATGTGTTGAGGATGAATTTAGATTTTGTCATTGTGCTAATATTTTCTTTTTACTTCATATGTAAATATTCAATCTTATTTGTCTAGGTTACCATTTTTACTGTGTTCTTAACAAGGTGGTTATTGTGACGCCCCTTTACCAGATAGGAAGTAGACCAGAGCGGGATCATTGAGTCGATCTTGTACTTATGATTAACATAAACAGTCGATATTGTTGTTGATGATTTAATTAAATGACAAAATATTTTAAATAACGGATCAATTTTTTAGAAATTAATTTAAGTGAGACAACTTCAATGGTTATGACAAAGAACTGCCAAGATTTTTTGATGTTGATAATGTTTTATACTAACAAATTAACGCGAGGTCATTTTACAATCAACCAGTTAATATTTGTTTGGAAAAGAATTATGATGAAATCCTTTTAAAAGTATGCATCGCCTTTCAAAATTTTCAAACAAAATCTGACAGGTTATATCTATATTCTATCTTTGTTAGTGTATCCTTTCTGAGATGTGGCTCACGAAATTTCAACATTTTGCATTGAGGACCAGGCGCCAGATTCACAAATTTTACTTCACGTGAGGAAACTCTGTAGTTTAGTTTTTCCATAGAAAATTATTATTGGATTAGGAGAAAAAAATGTATTTGACATATCCTTTACCTTCTGCAATGCTCTCATATGGTGTTTTTATTAAGGGAATTTCAATAAATTAAGGAAAGTCTATGGAACTGGAAAATGTTTCCTAATCTACGATTTGGTCAGAGCAAATGTGTGCAATGCCATGTGCGTTCCTATCATTTCTATCATTGATTCTCTATTACCAAATCTGGGTAAAAGTGAACATTGATTGCCCTTAACACCAGTATAATAACCAAAGATACGTTCCTCGGATGGCTATGTAGTACAAGGATGACGAAGAAATAACAAAGACTCGTCAGAGCTTCGTTGGAGGACTGTTTTGACAGAAGTACTGTCTCCATTAATTGAGCTAAATAAACATTTATTCAAACGCCTTTCGTTGAGGTATCTCATAAGTTGGAGAACGTTCTGGCGAATCACTACGCCTGTATGTCTTCTGTTTAGACAATTAAATATGTTTAAACTTTAAATGGTATCTTCGAATATCCCAGATCTTAAAGCAGGTGTTGTCATTTGCTAGCACACTGGAGTGTTTAACGTTGTCCATATATGTTTATCGTAATTTCATTGATTAAGTCGCTATTAGATAAAAAAACAAAAACAAAAAAAAAATCACAATGCAGTACTAAATTAATGATCTTATAGAAAGATCATCCACATGCTCATTATAATCATAGTACTACACTATCATTGATCAGGCAAAGTACATGTAAATTGAATTTAACAATGAGGCATTTTACTTTCTTTCTTAATCATATTTAATTCAATAGCCAATGTCTGACCTGAAGTTTAAATAACACAACAATATGTATTGTTTACGCCACAATCAACTGTAATTATGGAATATGATATTGTGAACATGTACCATTGTTTCACTGAATGTCTCCAACTCGTTTCTACTTTTCACCCCCTGTATACTATACTTGTCCACGTCCCTATCGCTGAAGCTATAGCTGTTAATGCTAGTTACGATAAAATACACTTATATAAATCTGTTACCTTAACCCTTGTTTCTGTGTCCTATTCATGTGTGTTCAACCATGTTTGTATAATGTATTATAAATGTTTGTGAATAAAAAAAACATTTGAACTGAACTATATATTTGTGCGCAATCTGTATTTCTGTAATTCTGTAATCTGTAAATGATCTTGTA